ATATAGAAGAGAGTTTGACGCTTTTACTTTAGTCACTTTTGGGTGTTATACAGGTCTTGGGTGACGTTATGACCTGAAGCCCTTCAATCACTGCAGAAAATGTTATGCATAGATGAAAAATACACCGAGACGAACACCTATCCCACTGCGTTCACTGCCCAACCAACGTTACCCCAGTAAACATCTGTCACTATCGTCTTCCTGCATGTAGTTTTCTGTCATTTTTTAATTAACCTATTCACACTCGAGTGCCATCCCCCTCAATTCCACTGTATTATCGCTGAAAATTCACCCTCCCGGTGCATAAAGCTTACTTTGACTTGACTTGACCTATTTTTCCCAGGTCCGTCTTCTATAGAAAAAATGTTACAGGGCTTCAAAGTACAACAAATCGGTGAAAATTTTCCACCGTAGCTTAAGGTTTTTCAGTTTTCAGTTTGTACGACTATTAACCACNTTCGTGTCCCGGTTTGGTTGTTGTCATTTGGCTGCCCATTTGGATGAAGAATAGGAGAAGAAAGGAAAGTTGGAAGTGGAGTCGAAAAGAAAATGGAGAAGTTCAGTGGTCTAAGGTTGCAAAGAAATTGAGATGCACGAACGTCACTGTTTACGACACCCAACCATATGACTCAGTGTCTCTAACCATCGGTTACGATCATCCCGAGGTCCCTAGCCAGGGAGCTTAAGGTACAGCTCGTAAAATTTAAGATACAGAATAGTCACTTTGTTCATACCGATGATACGGTGGAAACAGCCTCCTATTATTGACTGTCTCCTGTAAGCGATTAGTTATCAACAGACGATCTACCATAGTTCAGCATACTCAATCGAACAGTAAACAATAAATAGTAGCGTTGGTGCATCTTCTCAATTTCTCTGCAACCATTAGTCCATTGAAATGTTCCGTTTTCTCTTCGACTCCGCTCTCAACTTTCCTTTCTTCCTCCTACTGCTTGATCCAAATGGGCAGCCAAAAGGCAGCAACCAGAACCGGCGCTCGAAGGCGCATGGTTAATGATTGTACTGAAACTGAAACTCAATCGAACATAACGTATAAACGGAAGATCACGATGGTGATACTAATAATGAACTTAAGAGTCAATTTCGCATTATACAATCGGAATACAAAAAGCAATTCTCAATTTCGCCTCTCTACGAGAGAAACAAAAAGAGTTCATTCTTATTACATGATTATTTATTTAACATACTCTCCGGGCTCGGGGATAGCAACGTATTCAGATAATTTCGATTGGCATCGGAGTGAATTTGGTATTTTATATCACCTACCCCACCAACTTTCCGCCTCAATTGTTCATTGTAAACACCATTGGGCAGATAAACACAACCAATATTATTGCGTCCTAAAATTACGTTCAGCTGAGGATTAATCATTTTCTCAAAACGCCCCAACCGCGTGATAGTGACATATTGAGAAAAATTGTATCCCCGATTAAATCCACAAGTGATTGTATAGTTGCCATATATTCCGTTGATCCTGCACCCCGCAATTGACACATTCGAACATCTTGTATCGATTAAATACGTTGCGTACGAAGCGAATCAATAAAATCATTGATCCGTAAGTCTCACGCGGTGTAGGAATGCTTCCGACCAATCAAAGTATTCAATTCAATTAGTCTCATCGATTTAAACGATAGTTCACTAGACTGAACAGCACAATTCGTTTCAGATCACAAGATAAATATCTGCCCCCGCAATGACAGAACAGGACACTCAATGGAATTCAAGAGACCATGTATATGTTGTGTGCGGTAACTACCAAAACCGTGTGCACAACTAAAACAAAAAAACACTATGCGTTCACAGTTCATATACACATATATGCATATATATATATATATATATAAATGAGAAGAGAAGTTAAAAGAAAACAATAGAGATCTTACTGATGTGAATGAAAATCACTTTCATCTCAGCCTGTCCTGAGTTAGCAGACCTAAGGGCCCTCCTCACAGATTGGAATAAACAACGCGGGGTGCGAAGATGAAAACACAGGATGTTTTCTTCGTTTTTACAGAAGATAAATTTCCTGTCTTATTCCCGGGATCACGTGGACAATAAAACGGAATGTAGATTTCCTTGCTGCAGCAAACAAATATTTACAAATAAAATTCTGATGATTGCACAACACTGTTTACCCCCCCCCCCCCCNCCCCCCAGGCTTTGTGATTAACACAAAAGCGTCGAATCCGGCTCCGGTTTAATCATTGCACTTGAGTTGGACGTGCATTTCTGCTGCTGCTTAGGCGCCAACGGTAGTGAACCCCGTCGTGCGTCCAATATACGCAAATGGATTTTACTATGACGTCGTAGATCATACATCCGAACGAACGAGGCACTGCATTTTTCGCAAGCATAGGGTCGCTCACCTGTGTGTCGATAGATGTGCTCGCGCAATTTGTTCGTTTTAGGGAACGCTTTGCCACAATCTTTAAACGGACATAAATGCGGTCGACGAATCCCGGGACGTCCGGAAATCGGAGAGAGTGGGCGAGGAATCAGTTGGGCTGTCACTTTCGGAGCAATAACCGGAAGCGAACGTGTAGACTGGGTCGTTGTTGTTGTTGTAAGAAACGAGGAATGTGAAGAATCGGGATTATTCCCTACAGGACAGAAATTTTTTTCATTATCCCATGGAACGGCAGACGCTTCCGCATCTTTGATCAACGATCTAATATTGGAGAGAGGGGAAATGAACGGAACAGACATGCCCGATGATGAATGCGTGGAAGAATACTCACTTTGGTCATGATTCGAATCTTCCGACACGACGGGCCCTTTTGCATTGCTAAAATGGTTGAGTTTCTTGGCAAATCGAGATCCACCTTTCCGATTGAAGACATGTGTCAACTCATGACGTCGGACACCGTAGAGACGAATGAATGCGGCCCCGCAACCGGGCTCACGGCAAACATACGGTCGTTCTCCTGTGTGTGACCTTAAATGCTCTTTTAATTTATTCAGCTTTGCATACGCCTTATCACAGTTTGCATATGGACAGGCATGACGACGTACGGTCGTTTGTGGAGTGCCAGAAGTGACGGGATGTTTTTTTTCGCTAGAACTTTTACGGAGAACTAAATCCTCATTCGAAGGCTTACACTGCACTGAGTCGATCGAATCGCCTTTGCCAAGGGGAGAACCTGAACACTTATGAGATGGGTAAATTAACGGAGCATCATCCGCTAACTTGTCCAGTTCCATTGCTATCTCGTTTCCTAAGTCACAATTAGTTTGCTCGCATTTTATGACGGTCTTTTCCGTGGAAAGTGTGATATCTGGTAATGGGTCACTCGGTTGTGGGGAACTTGTGTCCGGTTTAACGGTTCGCACAGTTTTCCGAATCTCACACACGGTGTGCACGTTCAAATGATCTCGCAAATCTCGGCGTCTTTTAAACGCCGCAGAGCAACTTGGGATTGTGCACAGGAACGGACGTTCTCCTGTGTGCGTTCGAATGTGTTCGGTTTGATTGAATCGACTGTAGAATGCCAAGCTGCAGTTGGGTATAGGACACTTGAAACGCTTCACTCGATTCGGTGTTTTTGAAGCGGACACGGCGGAGTCCTTACTGGCTTCGATTGCCGTCCTGGCCTCGTCCAACAGAGACTGAACAACCATGGATGCCCGATCAGTTTCTGTGGTTGTTTTGACACCGGATGTGCTGGTGCTTCTCGTGTTCTTATTGGTGTTAGTGATAAGGGTAGGTGGATTTGTAGCTCTATTAATCATCTTGTGTGACACTAGACCATTATTGTGCTTTATTTTATCCATATAACTTGTTGAATCCGATATATTCGTTTCGGTATTGGAAGTTGATGAGTTGGTTTGATGCGCGCTTTCTACGCGCTGAGGGGGCCTCGATTCAGTTGGCAATTTTGAGAGACATGTGGAAATTATATTGGTCAAATTGTGACAGGAAAGGGCGCTGCTTTGACCGGGAGAAGGTGAAACATACACCGGCATCCCGAGTGATCGTACATGCTGTGTAATCAGATTAACAGTCGCACAGTTCACAAGTAGAGCTGCAACCAGAGGGTGAAGAGACTCCGTTGCATTCCCGATAGTCCGTGTGGCAGCTATGGGCGTCATATTAAGTAGACTGGAGGGACTTGAAGTGTCGCTAATTCCCGAAGTAGGCTTGGAGCTCACAGTAGAGTCATCACTGAAAAGAGTACGTGTACTTTCAGTATCATTGGGAGTTAGCTTACTGGATACACTCGAGGGTATCGATCCATTGGAAATAGACACACACGAGCGAACTGCAGCCGATAAAAGTGAGTGAAGTGCCTCCGACAGTGGGATGTTGGTACTGGTTGTGGTACTATTGTGGGTAGTTATATCAACATCCGTCGGGACCGCTGCCGTTTCCACGTTGGACTTCACTGGTTCGGTATTAGAAATGTTTGAGTGTGTAACTGTTGACTGCTTAAGTTGCATTTGTTGTTGAAGCTCTTTTAATCTATCCTCATCCGGATCTGTTGGTTCCACAACAACAATCTCTTCGGTATTGATTAATGGACTCAACGCAGACTCCGAAACCAGGGAAGACCTGGATGTTTTGTACGTTGTTCTCATTGTATTTGGGATGAGCGTGGGTCTGTGAAGCATATTTGATCAAGTAAACAGCACAGATTAATCACTGATGCGCAGACCGACTAATTCATGTGAAATCCACACGCACACACACACACACACACACAACGAGAGAACACGAATGATTCCATCCAAATTTGCCGGTAGCTATCCACTGGGGCGTTGACTAAGTATGCGCTTAGGGCGAGGTAGATTAACCAGCGCGAACGCGAACGAGGACAACGTAGACTAAGCCGCAGGTCTTTTTACTTCGCAATGATTGGTCGAAAACAAACCAATCCCGACGCGTGGTCTCCTTTTGAGCTTAACTTGCACTTGGTCGGTCGAGAGAACGAGAGAGAGCGCGCCGCAGGCTTATCGATCCATCGACTGGCGTAGGAACGCAAGCACGCGTTGGCGAGTGCGCGCAAGTGCGTTCGTGTACGTGTGTGAACGAAGAGCGTTTGAAAAACAGCCATTCAGCTCGTGCTACGCATAGGTTGGTCTGACTCGGGTGTGTGAGCCTCGTTGTCGGAGAGACACATTCTTCCCCCCATCAACGCAGATGCAGATGAACACCGTCGTCTCAACGTGTGACTTCGGGGCTCCGATGACCTGAAAATATGAGGCGCATACTAAAGAACACATCCACAGAACATTGCTGTATATCTGTGCATCGATCACTGCAATCCGGAGGGGCACCCGAACAGAATCCATGCCCTTATATATCTCAGGTTTGGTCAATAAAATCAATCTGTTTGGTGCATTTCACGGGATACCGTCGAGTTTTATTGGGAAAAACTATAAAGAGATCAGTTGTATGGTAACCACATGGGCCCTTAGTGAATGAAACTGAGATCATGGCGAAGTGCATTGATGCCACCGTTGAGAATGCGCCAATCCAAGTACCTTTTGTAATCGCTCACTTAGCAAGATGTTTAGTCTACCATTCGGGGATGAATAGCTCAAGTAGTTCCCGTTAGTATTATCAAGACTCCTAGGGACAATCTGTGCGTTTCGCGTGCAGCTGGTAAGCTGCAGGAGGATTGTATGAACCTGCTGTTCGTTTTTTTTGTTCAAACTACGAACAGAAGCCATGTTGGTAATCGGTTGAAAACTCAGCCCAGACCAGACTGGAAATAATATTGTGAATACATAGTTCATGCTAGAGAAGCGAGAAAATTTGCTAACAGATCAACCCTGGCTCCAGTTGACCTGATCTCTCAGCTTAGTAAAAGAGCCAAGCTAATTCAGCGTGCGTTTCCGGCCACGATGGCATGCATACATGTCATTCACCAGAACAGTATCAGCAGTTCGTATGAAAGTCAGGAATTATAGATTAGAATTCATTGTGTACTGCATGCGGCCAGTAGTATAAGTACCTGGATAAGGATCGAATCACAGTGTTGTAGATCAGCAAGACAATGCCGGGATGAGGAGAGTTGTTTATTACGAACAACAGCAAATTGACGTACATCACAACAAAACGCCTCATTTGGGACAGGTGAGCATAATTCCCACAAGCATTCAGGATAATTAGTGGAACGGCCGGACGGTAGATGGGCATTTTCGGTAGTTACAATTGCACACAAATACATACTTATTCTCTCTCTTTTGTTCATTATCGACCGTTGTAAGAAGTTGCCAGTCGTATTCTTTGCGTACATACTACTCACAGATGTCAGTAGCACCCCACAACAACAGTAATAATCCCTAAATGGACTTGTTCCGAAAGAGCGGTCCAAATGAATATACCCAGCGATCAGTGTGCATTCAACCGTTCTCAGGGTACGACACTCAGGTTTGAATTCCATGGCTGTCACGTCATCATCGTATGAAGCTGTACAGCTCACTAAAGATAGTCACCAAGAAAGTTAGAGGGGAGGTTAGGATCGTCGATAGTCTCACCAATAATGCGGAGATTTGCGTTCAATATGCTAAATAGTACAAGACTCAAATCATCTACTTTCCACTGCTTACTTTTTCGCCTAACTGCAATACTGCCAACAGTCTCTTGTCGTAAAGATTTTTTTACTGTTTCACTTCACTTCCTGTCTAGTGAGCGTACAAATTTACAGTCAGGAAGGGGCCGCAGCCATACACAACCTGCTTGGGGGAATACAGAAATAGGGAAGATGGGCGCTATCGTCGCGGTGTGAAACGCCCGGATTGCTCTCCTACCTCACCCCGTTTGCGCACCAACCGTTGCATCTTTCAAGAAGAGACTTGATGAAAGACTGCAATACCTTAATTTGTATCGCCAATAAAAACAAAACAACTGATTACCGGGTGTTTCATGTGCTATTAATTTGAGGTTAGTGTAGTACTTGGCCCAAGCGAACACTACGTGCATTGCTTTGATTACCGGTTTCCATCACTGAACAGTAGTTCCCCGTGGCTACGAAGTTTACGGTGTCCGCCGTTCATCATAGTAAATTGTGTAAAAAAAATGTATTGTATTGCAGTTATACCTTTTTTAACGTAAAGCCTACGTTTCAGTCCGACGTGTATACGTAAAAAAGAAGGACGGAACGAAATAAAAAGTAAGCTTTCGAAATTTAACGCCGTTTGTAAAAACCTGTTATTTGTCCACTAGAATATTTCCCAAAGAAGGCGCCGTAGAGTTATGATGTATGTTTATTCAAGAGGGCATACAAAGGTAATAGGAGCTATATCTTTTTTCATTAAGCTTTAGTCAAAAGCCACACAATCCACAAGTGACGATCCGTAGTAGTCATTCAGCCTCGACGCACAAACTTTGGCCATATCGCTGCAGGCGAATCAGATCGGAATAAGCTGAAGTCAGCGATTGTTGAGAGATTTCATTTTCTAAAAATTTTAATGTCACAAAGCTTGGTTAATAAATGAGATATGCCCCCCGTATGCTGCGCAGTTCCCCGTTGTATTGGTATCAAATTTCGCACCACATACTGGGTGGAGAAGGTCTAAACGTGTGTATGTATCGTCAAACCTTTTGGTACATCTCGTATAGCTTCAGTGTTTTCAGTGGACCAATTTTTAATAACAACAATAATAATAATAGCCAAGTCAAGTCAAGGAATCGCTTTATGCACCTCCAAGGGTGGATATTAAATAACCACATTGTGTCAACAATTTAAAAAAGCGATGTGTAATACAGCAATTCAAAGTAGTGAAACGCACAGCACCATCAAAAAACCAATGGCACTCCAGGTTGTTTATGATTCGTTTAGTTTAGCATTTTGAGCAGATTTTCTGCAACGAGTTCACGGCTTGCAAGAAATATATCGAGCTGTGGTAGAGTGCCTGTAAGCTTCAGTGCGTGCCTTTATAAGTTTATGACTGAAATGGGTGGATGATTGAGACAGGCACTAAAGGCAGAAAAAGGGGATGGGAACTACCAGATAAAATCTTGGAGAATGATTTGCAGACCGTGAGGTGGTGTGCCACCACATGCTGTGCCAGATGTTCCTGTGGTATCAGACTACATACCGACAGAAACTTGAGGGATCGGGAAATGAGTTTGAGGTCCTTGTTAAAAAACCAGGGGAAATAACAGGTGACCCATAAAGCCAATGGGGCAAGCGCAAGCAAAAACAAAATGTATTATGAAATAATTCGGGATAGAAAGTGATTTATGACGTAAAACATAAAACGTGAGCCTCCTGACCTTCAGAAAAACGAAATTGACGTGGTCAGACCAGGTGACGTTGNTGAAAATAACGCCAAATTATTTGATAGACAGTTGTCGTTCCATCTGGCCACTGGAGATAGACAAAGGCGGGCTGGCATTTGACAATTCACCATATTTTTTACCATTCAAAAGGGTATTACGTTTTTATTTCAAACTGTCTGGTCTCGATAGAACTAACAGCCAATCAGGATCGGACCCATGTCGGCTGGCATTATTGGCATGAACAAGTGCGTGAGGTGAATATGCTATTATGTTCAAGTCGGGTGGATGGGAGCCTTAGAACAGCCCACCATGGAGCGTCCATTCCTGCGAATAGACCATATGTTGTAGTTGGCCCCGTCAATATACATCTTCAGTGTTGTGGTACTCGATCATTGTAACCAATCGGTATATTCCGCTCGTTTTACTTTGACAGTTTCTGAGTTTTGTTACACAGAATGGATGGCCAGATTTTTAACCAGTGTCCATCCAGCAATCGGTCAGTTGAAGTCTTACTGATGGATATGCCCGGAAAATCCTTCTCCATTCTTTCTTTTAACTGCCTGAACATGATTTTAAGGTTCGCATCACGCACATCACGCAAAAGTTTCGTGAACTCCTTTTCGAAGTTCATCTGGTAAGATCCAGGTTTGTATGTTATCTCCCGATCCGCGGCTGCAATAGCACAACATATTTTGGTCTTAATGCTGGGACGTGTGACAACTTCTTCCGCATCATCATTTCTGCATGCACATTCAATTACTCAGCGTAGGTCTTCCGCACTGGTGGTGCGATAAGGCCTTTTCTGTCCTTCCACTTAGCCATTCTCCATATTGCAGATGTGTACAACGGTAGATAAGGTACAACGAACATTAATGCTGCCTATCGTGGTGTTCTGATAGCCCCATTACCCATTACGAATCGAATGTCGCATGACGATATTTCAAAGGAAATCTAAAATACTCTACTTTTTGAGTAAAAATCTCAAATGTAACAGAAACGGCATATTATTTTGCTTGTAACTTGTGAATGTAAAACAATATACCATTTGTGTTACACTTGAGATCGTTATTCACAGCAGTATCACATCTTATACGGAAACACAGAAGCTGTATGAGATGTGTCAAATGGGTTGACGATAATGGCATATTGTTTAAACGCTCTCCACACAGTATGTGATACCAATACGACGGTGAACTGCGCAGCATACGATCTCTACATCACATTTGTTAACCAAGTTTGGCAATATCAACATAAAAATTAAATGTCTCAACAATCGTTGACTTCAGCCTATTCCGATACATTTGATCTGATTCGCTTGAAGCGCTATGGCTAAAGTTTGTGCGTCGCGGTTAAGAGGTTACGGGACGTGGCGAGTTTCGAT